CCATTCACAATAATGCATGAGACAGAAAAGGGATCTGAAATACTTCCTGGCAATTTGCTTCTCCCTAAAATCTTGGTATTATCATCCTGTAACCTTAGAATGACCCAGAAGAATCTGGACAGACAAATTCTTGTTTTACTGGCAGAATATCCTTTAAAATATATTTTTCTTCTAAACAGTCTTTATGGAGTGGCAGACAGGCACGTGAACTATAAGGGGGGGAGTCTGCTGGAGATTCAAATAAATCTGCACACATAAATTGAAGCCTCTTTACCTAGAACAGCCCAGCCACTCTAGATGGTGGCTGTGTAAGGATCTACTTACATGAGAGGTGAGTGTCTAAGTGTCTTTAACAGTTAATGGAGGCCTGGTCAACAAAGGCAATGGAGCATTGTGGTGGTACATTCCCCTCCCTTTTTCAGGCTGCACTGCCATCTGAGAAATGCTCATTAGGCCTCAGCCTTAATGGACAGCACCTGGGCTCAGCTCCTCTTGAGCTTATCAGAAACACTGTCTGCTCCTAGAACTGCTGCTGTCTAATTAGCTCCAGTTTTTTTTTTTTTTCACTAACTGCCTTGGAAACTATTTTCCTTGCCTCCATAGTGTAATATCCTTGTTCTCACCGTTTTAGAGAAAGTGTGCTGACCTGAAGTGTGGCCAGGTTGGAACACTGTTATGAACAAAGCCCTTCTCTTGCAGTCCTACAAGCAGGGGTCCAAAATGAATCCTTTGAGCTCTTTGGGCTGCAGTGTGCTGCGACCAGTGACCTCCATCTGAGTGGAGCCTCTCAGAGCCTGCAAACTCTGAGGTCTGCTGTACTTGGGGGATCCCTGAATAACAACAAATCCTGGGCCAAAACTCCCACTCCTCAAGGCTCAACCCTTCACACATTGAGGAGGTGCAAAAGCATCCAAAGTGAGTATTTCACTACCTTCAAGAGAGATTTACCACAGGTACCTTGCACTGACCTTTATGTCTGTGTGCATATACATGTACACACATGCTATAGCAAGACTGGGAGAAATGCTGCTCTCTTAGATACTTAAATACTTTAGATATGGAAGTAAATTAGGCCTGCAAGTAAGTTTAAATTATAAACTACATTTAATGCTGTTTAGTGCTATTCCCTGATAAATTGTTACAGTAAAGTTATAAATTAAGAACTGTTAAATTTGCGTGCTGTAATCCTTCAGGTTGTATTCCTTTTTATCTTTGCCCTTCCTGTCCTTTGTCGCACACACATAAGCACATACGCACACACATATTTCTGAGTTCATTTCTGTTTTGATTAACTGTATTTTCTTGGGTTTTTTTTCTCAGTGTGCCTTAACTGTCTTGTAAGTAGTAGAGTGAGCCTTGCCAATGAACTTTGTTGTGCTGTTGCTTATTATTAAATCTGTCTTTTTCTGACACTCTTACCAGTGATTTTTCAAGCTATCTCAAACTCTGGTTCACAACAAGCAATGAAGAGAGCTGGCTGGGGGACCAGTGCAGGTGGACACTGCACTCCCACTCCAAGTGGATACAATGATTGTTTGAGGAATGTCCTGGGAAAGGAAGGAAGGAAAAACACTCTTTTATTTAGAGGGTAAATCCTACCCATGATAGGTAAATGGAATGAAAGGCAGCCAGCATTACATTTGTGTTTTACAATTAATAATCTGAGAGCATTGCTAACTGAACTCGAGTGATTTCCCTGGACCATATTCCAAGGCTGAAGAAAAGTGAAGGTACCAGGGAAAGACTAAGGTGGGATCAGGATGCACTCTGGTTCATTTTTGTGAAGTAATATTGGATGTGGCTGACAAGACACAAGGATCAGAAAGATCTTTTTCTAAGGACATGAAGTCATCATCTGACATGTCAGCATTCTAGAAAAAGCAGAAATTTCCTAGAGGGTTCTTCTATATTGGACGTAAAACAAGTTACCCAGGTAGTGACACCTCTGCAAACATTCTGGCTCACAAAATTAAAATGACACATTGATAAAAATACACAGCCACACATAGAGCCAGACAAGAAGATTTGCATGTTTGCACCAGCAACCAAAGAAGATATTACCCTGACATGCACACCCATAATAAATCAACATATGCTAGGAGAGATTAGATTAATTTGTCATGGAGATAATTTCTCTAATATCCTGTTGGTGCAGAAACACTGTGGAGCAGGTCAATGTTATGTTAGTTGTGTGTTTGCCAGAGAATTTCCCGACAAGGAAGTATAAAATTTTCTTCCAGTAAATTAAATGGGGAGCGATGTGCAAGGTCATTCCCTCATCAGATAACAGAACAAGTGCTCACATTAGCCCCTGAGATATCTTTACTGTGCCTGTGCAGGGACCAAAGATGTGTCTAAGGCCTGCCATATTTGGTGCACTGTTGTGCACGTCAACAAGATAATGTAGAAGAAGACATTGTTAGTTGGTAGGACTCTAACCTTCAGAAACTAAACTATGCATTGGACACCTGGTGAGATTCATCCTGTGAAAGGGGAATAATACACAATAAAGCCATTGTTGGCATGGAAGTCTTATGGGCTGTTACGACCTCATCTCATGTGCTGGCCCCACATGTGATGATGTTGAAAATGGCTGCTCCTGAGGAGAAGATACAAGGTGTGGTCCTGGAGTTGGACACAGGGCTTTGAGGCACTGCATTTCCCACATCATCTGTGCTCAGGCAACCTCAGGGCCACAGGCTGTCACTGCCTAGCACAGGTAACAAAGTCCTATTATTTCAGCCATGCATGCAAACACGGTAGTAGCTAAGCAGCCCTCAGTGCACTCCTGCCTCATCAAAAGGAAAGGAAAGGAAAGGAAAGGAAAGGAAAGGAAAGGAAAGGAAAGGAAAGGAAAGGAAAGGAAAGGAAAGGAAAGGAAAGGAAAGGAAAGGAAAGGAAAGGAAAGGAAAGGAAGGAAAGGAAAGGAAAGGAAAGGAAAGGAAAGGAAAGGAAAGGAAAGGAAAGGAAAGGAAGGAAAGGAAAGGAAAGGAAAGGAAAGGAAAGGAAAGGAAAGGAAAGGAAAGGAAAGGAAAGGAAAGGAAAGGAAAGGAAAGGAAAGGAAAGGAAAGGAAAGGAAAGGAAAGGAAAGGAAAGGAAAGGAAAGGAAAGGAAAGGAAAGGAAAGGAAAGGAAAGGAAAGGAAAGGAAAGGAAAGGAAAGGGAGACAACTCATCTGTCTTTGTCAGGTGCTATAGTGTGCACTGTAAAAATCAGGTTAGTGAAATTTCCTTCATAAATGGCACAGTCATACCTGACACTGCATTATGATGGAAGAAATGGAATAAAAGTCTTCTTGATTACAGTATTCTTTTTTTATTATTCCAGTGTCCAGTGTGTCTCACACAATTGGCAAAGCACATTCCAATGGCAGCCTGGGTGCATTAGGAAATGTCCCTTTGTTCTGGCATTGCAAAAGCAAGGCAGAAATAAGCCACTTGAGAATTCGATAATGCTCCTTACTTAGATTTTGACAAGTCAGGAGCTACAGGAAATAGCTTCAAAGTGTCTGTCTCTCAGAGAAAAATTCAGAGCTGACATATCTGTCCCAGAACACCTGTGCACTGAAAAGGAAAATCACCAGGATCCAACCTGCTCTAGGTGCTGAGTGCAGCAGGAGATATATAACCTTGCTCAGAGCCTGGCTGGCTCTTTTATACTCACAGGTGTCAAGCTTGTCTTCCCTAGATGGGAGAGAAGAAATACCCACAACTTTTCTGCACGTACTGGCAGGAGAGGAGAGAAGATAGTTGCTTCTTTCAAAGGCAAGGAGAAGTGCATGCCTGTTAGGTATTAGCTAATTATCTGGACACCTGACTAGCACTGAGCTTAATGTTCTCAGCCAGAAGCCACTCAAAGCACAGTCACTTACCAGTTCGAGAACACCAGACTGCAGGATGGGTTTTGAACTTGGAAAGACCCTTTCTATCACTGCTACTGCATAAAGCTCTGGCATATCACTCCGATATTCTTGTGACTTGCCAACTGGAATCGCTAACCCTTGTTTCAGAGTCTTTTATTTTTTCTGCTGTCACTCCTGTTTTGTAAACATGTACACTGAAAGAGCAAACACTGCAAGATGCACATCACCAATGTCTGTGTTTTGCTGCCAGACAGAAGAATGATCTTTAGTGGTGAAGTAACAGCTGCAGCAGATTTGGAGAAAAAAAGTTTCAAGTCTCGCTTTTCTGATCACTGGTACCAACTGGGAGATGCATTGCAGGCTCCTCTGGTACCATGGGCTGGCTGAGGCTATCCTGCAGGCACAGACTGGTGCAAGGGCCACGCTGGGCATATAGCACAGCACAGGCTCACTGCCACATGATCTTCTTGTCTCCTCAGTTGGCAATGGTCTCCTGCTCAGGATCACTGCACCTCACCAGTCACCTTTTAATTCTGCTCTCTCTATCTTAAAACATGGAAACTAGTTCTGTATTTAATATTGTAACATTTGCTTTATCGATTTTATTAGATATTGTGGAAGTCCCTTCCCTAGGCTTGTTGTCTGTTCATATACCCAAAGATCACATTAAATCCTGTTTACAACAGGGAGTTCAAGGCACTAGATCCCAAGAGCCCCAAGTTCAAGGCACTAGCCCCAAATTTACTTGAAATCCCTACTGTCCGCTACAAGTGAGTTTTCACGAGACAACTGTGCATGACACAGTCTTGATTCCAGATGCTCTTTCCTCCTGCTGTACCTTCGGCTCGTAACAGACCCAGCAATCATCTGATTCCCCACTGAGTTTGTTCAGCTCACTATACACAGAAAAAGTCACTTTTTGCGGGGTAGGGTAAACGAGGGGCCAGGAAACGGGAGCACAGGGAGCCGGGGCAGGCTGCGGCGGAGCGCAGAAGGGGAGCCCGGTCTGCCCTCCCGCCCGTCCCGGAGAGCCCGTGAGTCACGGCGAGGGAGGGCCCCGGCCGCGCCCACCTCTGAAAGCTCCGCGTTACTGCCACGGCCCCAACGGGCAGAAGGCGGCTCTGAACTCCTCTCCCTCTTTCTCTCCTCTCCTCCCCGTGCCCGCCTCGCCCATGGCGGGGCCGCGGGACCCCGCGGAGCGCTGCTCCTGCCGCAACACCAACTGCGTGGAGCGGCCGCTGCGCCGGCTCTTCGAAGGGCTGGCGAGCGGCGTGGCCGCCTGCCCCTGGCCCTTCGTGCTGGTGCCGCTGCTGCTGTCCGGCGGGCTGGGCGCCGGCTTTGTCTTCTTACCGCAGCGGCAGGCGAACGACATCGAGGAGCAGTTCACGCCGACGTGGGGACCCGCCAAGGCCGAGCGCGACTTCGTGCGGCGGCACTTCCCCACCGACGACTCGGAGCGCTTCTCTGCCCCGCGGCTGCCCACCGAGGGCGCCTACGCCGCCCTCATCGCCGTGGCGACGAACGGGACCTCGGTCCTGGAGCCGGCGGCGTGGGCAGACGTGCTGCGGCTGAACGCGGCCGTGCACGACACCGAGTACGAGCGGCTCTGCGCCCGCACCGCCGGCGGCTGTGCCAGCCCCAACCCGCTGCTGTCGCGGCGGGGCGATGCGGGACCGCCCGCCCCGGGCAGCCTCCGCTTCCCCGTCAACGGCAGCGAGTTCCTGGGGGCCGCGCTGGGCGGCGTGGAGACGGACGGCGGGCGGCTGCTCAGGGCGCGGGCCCTGAAGCTGCTGTACTACCTGCGGGAGGACGGCCCCGAGGCGCAGGACAGCCGGCAGTGGCTGGAGAGCTTCCTGCAGAGCATCTCGTCCAAAGTGGCGGACTTGCGCCTCGGCTCCATTCAGGTAACGCAGGGGCCGGGTGCGGCCGTGCGGAGCCGCCGAGCCCGAAATGTCCGGGTGGCCCCGTCGCGGAAAGGGAAAAGGAAAGGAAAAGGAAAAGGAAAAGGAAAAGGAAAAGGAAAAGGAAAAGGAAAAGGAAAAGGAAAAGGAAAGTGGCGGAAGAAGGAGAGTAGGTTGCGAGGGCCAGGGCAATGCTCTTCTGCCAATGTGGTATTTGGCCTTGCCTGTGCGTTTGTAAAAAGAATAAGAAGAGGAAAAGTGCTTTATCGTTTCTTCTTGTTTTAACGACAGGTGACTTATTTTACCTCGCTGTCCAGACAAGAAGAGTTTGAAGGAAATACCAGGAGTGTGATCCCGCTCTTCTCCATAACATATTTCCTGACAATAACCTTTTCAATCATCTCTTGCCTAAGGTAAAATGTCTCTAGGCTATGGCTCAATGAGCAGTGATCTTTGCTCTTCTTACCTTCCTTCAGTTGATTTCTGCTCTTGCCGAGTGAAGGCATTCTTGAAACTGCAGGCTTCCAGTGACATTTAATGATAGGCAAAGGGTATTTCTTTGCTTTTTCTTGTCTATTCTTGTCTATATGTCTGTGCATATTTCCTAACTGCTTAGATGGGGTTCATGGTAAGTACCAGATAAATACATGAACAAGTCTTCAGTGTAGACATGACCAACTTGAATGTTCACCTCCTAGAGAAATTAATCTTGTCCACTGCTGACACCTAGGATCTCTTAGAACATCATTCATCAGGTGTTCTCTTCAGACAGGGTATTGTCTGGGAAGTATATTACATATAACTAAGTTATTCCTTGAAATATTTTCAGACTGAGCTGTATAAGAAATAATACCTGGCTTGCAAGCTGTGGAGTGCTTTCTTCTGGCTTAGCAGTATTAAGCAGCTTTGGATTGATGCTCTTCTGTGGAGTGCCATTTGTGGTCACTGTAGCAAATGCACCATTCCTGATTCTGGGTGAGTAGAAACAGTGAGTTGTAATCAGATACAAAGACCAGAGTGAAGTCAAAACAACCTAATGGTGTCAGTCTTTTATGATGTGAATGTCAGATAATACAACATTTTCTCCTGAAGTGAGTGTAGGAGATACCAAGAGGTGCAGCCCCCTCAGAGCAGCTACAGGTAGGCAAGCCCCTCAGCTCAGCTCAGTGAGACTGGAGATGGGTTCTGGTGCGAGGGCAGCTTTCCCCAGAAGACAAGGCCTCATCTAGATCCACTGCTACAGCAGGAAGATTGTAAATGGGAGAGTGGTAAGGTTAGCACTTCTGGCATTGTTCTAGTGTCCCTGGAAATGTAGCCAGGATGATTAATCCTCTGCAGTATAACATCTGTGTACGAATCAGTCTCAGTCGGCTGCACAACTGAAGTGATGCACCATTTGTGCGAGCAGCTCCCCCCAAAATCCCGAGGAAGTTGGTATTGCATCCTTGCTTCACAGAGTGCTTAACAGTCAGTGCTGAACTTTCCAAATAGTGATAGTGTTGCTGCAATTAGATCATGTTTCCAATTACATAATGTTGCTGTAAATGAATTACTGCTTTTAAAATCCTTACTGGTCTCCCATATCATACATTCTTCTGATGTTTTCTTTGGCTTGGTCTCATGCTGAGGAAAACACATGGAGCTCCCAGGTTGACAGAGGCTGTGCATCATCCTAAGATATCCGATGCGAATGCTTCTTTGGGCAGGCATTGCTTCTTTGTTTCCTGAATAATTCTAATGCATTTTTATTTACTTTTGTTTGCTCATCAATTGCAGTGACTCTTACTATCAAAAAGGCCCGTTTGTATACCTGGGAAAGGGCTTAAGCCAGTCTCTTCAGATCTTCAGAAATAACACACAGACTTTTGTCTTCCTTGCGTTAAAGCAAACTAATTCTCAGTACATCAGAGGCTTTGCTTTGAAGGCTGCTTGCTTTCCAAAGCAGCCTGGCTCACTGCCATCCAGTAATAACTTTTGATGTGCTGCTTAATGATTCTTTGCATGTTCACTGGCAATTGCCTGTTCAGGTAGCAGGTAATGATTTCATCTCTTCTTCTGTGCTTGGCTAAATCTCACTCAGCTATTCGCGCAGCCTTGCTTTCTCCTTTGTGTGATTAATTTTTACTGACTAGAAGAGCCCTTGACGGCATGGCAAAATACTGAACAGTGTAAGATAATAATCTTGAAAGTTAGCAGAGGTGAGAGAAGCCCATTGCTCTTCGTTTTTGAACTTCAGCTCACTCACTCTGGCATCTTAGCAAAATCCCAAACCCAGGATCCAGTCTTCCTGGCAGGCTTTCCCAGGGACCTGTCAGGTAATATTTGTGAGCACATTGGTATAAATGTGAACAAAAATGAATAATAAATCGTGACTAAGTGCTGGAAGATAAACTGGAGAGAAGTGGAGGGAAAGAGCATAAAAAAAGCAAGCCACCAGGAAACTGGAATCACTCTTCTCCCCTGTGATAGCAACTGCTCTTCCTGACTTCTGAAGGCAAAACAAGAAATTATTGGTCTAAGTTGCTGCAGTGGGGGGGGGGGAAGAGATTCCAGAGATAATGGGGGGTGCTTCCAGTAAGAACAGTTGAGCATCAGAATACGTGATGCTTTGAAATCTGTGTCATCTGCATCAGGGGACACGTGGACATCAGCTACAAGACACTTGTCAGAGATGCAGTAGGTGTGCTCAGTCCTTCAGCAGGGTCCCTGAGGGATCAACAGCCCATCAGGTCACCAGGAGGTGCTAAAAGGTAATGCATTCAGCCACACACAAAGGATCTGTTTTCCAGATTCTCTTGTAACTTGCATCAGCACTGGAGCAGTGTTAGTAGCCCAACCTTTTTTTTCAGATTTTAGGCAGAATGAAATGTGACTAATGTTGTAGTTTTGTTGGGTGTTGGTGGAAGCTGCCATTGGCAGTGCAGCATTAACAGTCTCTCCTCTTGCAGGGGTTGGCGTTGATGACATGTTCATCATGATTGCTTCCTGGGAACAAAGTTTAAGGAAAAAAGAGAAGTCCAATGTTAAATCTCTGCTGGCTGAGACTTACGCAGAGGCAGCGCTTTCTGTGACCATCACCACTCTGACGGATGTTTTGGCCTTCTTCATTGGCACCTGGACTGCTTTTCCGTCCGTGAGGTCTTTTTGCCTCTATACGGGCACAGCTTTTGTCTTCTGCTATGTATATACCCTGACCTTCTTTGGGGCAGTTCTGGTATTAAATCACAAAAGGGAGGAAGGGAACCGACACTGGCTGACTTGTATGCGTGTGGATGTAGGTAAAGATCAGGCTGAGAACTCCTGCTTGTACAATGCTTGCTGTATTGGCAGCTGTTCTGGGCAGCCATCTCAGCCAGAAGGTGAGCATCCAATGAGCACATTCTTTAAAAAGTATTACGGCCCTTTTATTACAAATAAATGGATCAAGGTGCTCATGGTGTTGCTGTATGGAGCATATTTGGGTGGCAGCATTTATGGGTGTACTCAGATCAGGGAAGGCATCGATCTCCGAAATCTGGCAAATGATGCCTCCTACATTATTCCATACTATGATGATGAAGACAAATACTTCTCCACATATGGACCCAGGGTCATGGTTGTCATTGCTGAGAGTGTAGATTACTGGAATGAGTCGGTGCGTCTTGCCATTGAGAGCTGCACACAGAATTTAGAGAACATTTCCTATGTAGATAAGAACTACTCGGAGTCATGGCTGAGAGTATACACAGGACTTGCCAAAAGTGGTTTGGTAAATATAGACAGTAAGACTGACTTCTTAAATAACTTAAATGTACTGTTCAGAATTCTTCCCAGTTTTGAGTGGGACATAAACAAGACTCAGGATGAAATAGAGGCTTCACGTTTCTTCATCCAGACAGTGAATGTGACATCAGCCGTGGACGAGAAGAATCTCCTCAGTCAGTTAAGGGAGGCAGCCAAGCAGTGCAGCATTCCACTGAAGGTGTATCACCCAGCCTTCATCTACTATGACCAGTACCTGGTGATAGTGCAGAACACTGTTCAGAACATTGTCATTGCTGCTGGGGCCATGCTCGTTGTCTCCCTTTTGCTCATTCCCAACCCGTTGTGCTGCTTGTGGGTGACTTTTGCTATAGCCTCTGTTATAGTTGGTGTTGCTGGTTTCATGACATTCTGGAAGGTCAACCTCGATTCCATATCCATGATCAACCTGGTCATTTGCATTGGGTTTTCAGTAGATTTTTCTGCTCATATTTCCTATGCCTTTGTTACGAGTGGAGAGTCATCAGCCAATAAAAGGTCAATTGAAGCTCTGTCCCTGCTAGGTTACCCAGTTTTACAGGGTGCAGTTTCTACAATATTAGGCGTAGTTGTCCTGGCTGCATCAAACACCTACATCTTTAGGACATTCTTCAAGATCATGTTCCTTGTTATTTTGTTTGGGGCTCTTCATGGTCTTGTTTTTATTCCAGTGTTTTTAACATTTTTTGGAAACTTTGGCAGTTCACCTCACAATACCATGTCTAAAAAGTTAGAGCATAGGTTTAGAAATGATAAAGACTGTCCATGAATTATTTAAATATAAGATTTTATATATTTACTATGTGGACACTCAAATGCAGTGACTGTCAAGAAATATAAGACATGAAAAGCAGAAGAATAAATACATCTGATCAACTTCAGGACTTCAGAAAAGCCAGGTAAGAAAAATAACAACAAACTGCACAGAACGGATTTGCATTTTTTACCTTTGTGTATGTTCATCTACCATCTTAATGTTGCTAATTATCTTGTTTTTGTGTGACCTTTTTACTGAATGTTTACTAAAATTATTACAAACACTGGCCATTGCATCAGGTGAATGGACTATGTTACATGTTTGCAGGACGCAGTCCTAGAGTACCTCCCATTGGACTGTATTTCCTCTTTGTTTGCCTTGATGCTGTAACTCATCCCAGCACTGAGCTGGAAGACAGTTTTAACCAAGAGGCTCAAATACAGCAAAATTACAAGAGGTCAGAACTGTCTCAGACTGTAATAATTTGTAAGCCTTCAGGAGACAAAATGTGCTTAGGTTCCTAATGCAGCGCAAGAAAACCTTGGGGAAGACTCACCCCAAGCTGACTCCTGTTTTCTGTTGAAAGCCTTTTCTTGGCGTCCCATTTTCTAGCTAAGGTTGAACATCTGCAACCATTAAGAAGTTTGTGTGTGCTTCTGTTGGCTGCAATTTGCAAAGTTTATTGAACTTGCGTGGACCTCTTGAGTTACCACCTTGGGAGATGTTGTTCCATGGTATGAGAGGGCAGGGATTCATTAGAGACAATTGCAACCTGATTTGGGACAAAGTGAAAAATAACCACAAGTTTATGCAGATCAGTCCTAAAACTGTAAACTCATAAATTCCATTGTGTTCATCAGTGCATCCTGGGATGCATTGATAGAGCAGAGGAGCTTTCACTGAGTAGTAACTAGTAATATATGAGATGATCTTCAAACCCATGGGAATAATACAGTAGGTGAAAATCAATTCATAATTTGTTGCCAATATCATGATAGACCCATTGGAAATAAAATAAGCAATGGTAACCAGTATTTGTAATTCTGGAAAAAATGGTGTAGAACTTATTAAATCATTCAGTCCAAATCTGCTGCTGTGGTGGGTTTCTTCTGAGAGTCTGAGCAAGTGTGGCAAAGCCAGGGACTGCCTCTGTTCCCTGTGGCTATCTGGCCAGTTTCATGAGTAAACAGGGCAAGATCCTTCTTATTCATAGAGTCATAGAACAGCTTGAGTTGGAAGGGACATTTATGTTGATTTGGCATGGCCTAGTTTTTTGGTAGCAGGGGAGGGCCACAGAAGTGGCTTCTGTGAGAAGCTGCTAGAAGCTTCCACCATGTCTGACAGAGCCAATCTCTGATGGCTCTGAAGATGGACATGCTGCTAGCCCAATTGGAGAGGTTGATAATGCCTCTGTGATTACATGCTTAAGAAGAAAATCAAAACAGCGTGTGCAGCTTTTTTCTGGGGTGGCAAGGCGCCGCCACCAAGGCCATCCTGGCAGCATGAGGCAATGCACTGCAGCATGGCCCACAGCAAGCCTTGCCTGCCTGGCCACCCCTAGCGAGCCGTGCCAAAGACAGAAGGGCAGGGGCAGCTGCCTCAGCTTCCCCTTCCCAGTGCTGCCTGTGAAGAGAGGCATTAAACAGCACCAGCACTGCAGCAGACACCATTGCCCATCAGTGGCAGCAGGGCTGTGTGGCTGGTGCAAAAGTATGGTGAGCGACTCCTGGCAAGGAACCTAGACAAAATGACCCTCTCGGCACTGCGGGATCCTGCAGGAATTTTTTAATTGGTGGAACTTGTTGGCAGTGGTACCTACAGGCAACAGCTTTTTTTTCTAGTCAGAGAAGAGGAGCTGAGGACAGGTGAGGGGAGACAACATGGCAGCACCCAGGTCAGTGGAAAAGGGGAGGAGTTGCTCCAAGTGGTGGAGCCGAAATTCTTCTGCAGGCTGTGGTGAGGACCATGGTGAAATGGGCTGTCCCCCTGCAGCCCATGAGGTCTAAGGAGGATGCAGAGATCCACTTGCAGCCCATGGCAGAAGTACTAACACTGGAGTGGGTGGATACTGGAGAAAGGTGTGATCGAGTGGGAGACCCAAATGGAGAGAGAGTGCCCCTGCTTCCTGAGATCAAGAAAGAGGACCCTTGCTTCCAAACTAGAGCAGCCTGTCCTTAGAGGACACACTGTGGAGAAGTGACCCACACCACAGCAGTTTTGGAAAGACCAGTGGGAAGGACTTACATTGCAGCAGTTTAGGCAGGACTGCTGCTCCTGAAATTGGAGCCACACTGGAGAAGTTCACAGAGAACTGTCCCCTGTGGGAGGGACCCTATGGCATAGCAGAAGAAAGACTCCTCTCCCTGACTGAACAGAAAAAGATCTTGGGTGATGAACTGACCAAAACCCCCACGTCCTATCTCCCTGCACTGTCAGTGGGGAAGATGGCTGGGGGAAAAAAGTGTTTTAAAGACTTACTTTACATCTAATTGTCCTCTTCTGACTCTGTTAATAATAAATTCACTTAATACCTTTAAATTTTAACCTGCTTTGCCCTTAGAGTGCTTTCTCCCAGTCCTCATCTCAACTTGTGAGCCCTTTGTTATTTTTTTTTTCCTCTCCTCTGCCTAGCTGAGAGCAAGAGAAGCTGAGCAAACAGCTTTTGTGGGTGCCTGGCATTTGGCCAATGTCAAACAACAACATTTTAAAGGTCATCTAGTCCAACCCTTCTGCACTAAGCAGGGGCATCTTCAACATGATCAGGTTGCTCAGAGTCCACTCCAATCTAACCATGAATGTTTCCAGTTTTCTGGGCAACCTGCTTCAATGTCTTACAACCCTCATTGTAAAAAAATTCCTTGTATTAAGTCAACTGTGTTTTAGTTCACTCATTACTGCTGGTCTTATATCAAAGGCCCCACGAAAATGTTTGTCCCTGTCACTATTCCAGGTCCCCTTTTGTCCAGAGCCATCTCTTCTCCAGGCTGAACAACCCCATCTGTCTCTGTCTGTCTTCACAGGAGAGGTACTCCAGCCCTCTGATCATCTTTGTAGCCTCTTCCAGACTCATGCCAGCAAGTCCATGTTCTTCTAATACTCGGGACCCCAGAGCTGGATGCAGTGTTCCAGGTGGAGTAGAGGGGCAGAATCACTTCCATTAACCTGGTGGCTATGATTATTTTGATACAGACCTGGTAGAATTGGCTTTCTGGGCTTCAAGCACATATTTCTGGGTCATGTCCAGCCTCCCGTCCAGCAGTGTACCCTGAAGTTGTTCTCAGCAGGGCTGCTCTCATTCTCTTAATCTCCCAGCCTGTTTTGATACCAGGGGTTGCCCCAACCCATGTGCAGGACTTTGCACTTGGCCTTGTTGAACTTCATGAGGTTCCATTTCTTGTGGTTGTCCAGGTCCCTCTGAATGGCAATCCTGACCCTCAGGCATGTCACCTGCACCACTCAGCTCAGTGTCATCTGCAGACTTGTTCAATCCCTTTGTCTGTGTCATTGAGGAAGATATTAAATAGCACTGGTCCTAGTATGGACCCCTGAGGGATACCACCTGTTACCAATACTTGTTGGGACACTGAGGCACTGACCACTACCTCTCAGATGCAACCAATTAACCATTAGTTCACCATCCACCTAGCAGTCTACCCATCAAATCCATATCTCTCTAATTTAGGGAAAAAGATGTTTGGGGGACCATGTCAAAGGCCTTGGAGAAGGACAGAGAAAACAATAGCCCTTCCCATATGCTCTGACACTGTCATTCCATCACAGAAGGTTGTTCAGGCAGAACTTGTCCTGGTTGTCCTCAACATACCTTAACATAGCTTAGGAGGATCTGTTCCATGATCTTCACAAGCACAGAAGTCAGTAGTTCCCAGGATTCTCCTTTCTACCCTTTTTGAAGATGGGTTCAGTGTTTCCCTTTTTCCAGTCACCTGTAACTTCACTTGACTGCCATAACTTTTTGAACAGCATAGGAAGTGGCTTGGCAACTTACATTAACCAATTTCTTCAGAGCTCTGGGATGCATCTCATCAAGTCCCATAGATACATGTATGCTCAGGTTCCTCAAGTGGTCATGAATCTCTTATCTTACAGTGGAAGGGACTTTGCTCCCAAAGCCCCATCTTGCAGTCCACCCACTCAAGAGGTGTGAGAAGAGAGGTTGCCATTCAAGGCAGGCAAAAAGGTAGTTGAGTACCTCAGCCTTCTCCTGGTCTTTTGTGACCATTTGCTGGCCTCTGTTAAACAAGGCAGGTACACTTTCTTTCACCTTCCTTCTCTGGCTAACATGCCTGTAGAAGCCCTTCTTGTTATTCTTTGCATCCCCTGCCTGGTTCAGCTCCAGCTGTGCTTTGACATTCCTAAACCCATCCCTGCACAGCCAGACTGTGTGTCTACACTCTTCCCAGGATAGCTGGCCCTGCTTGCACTGTCTGTGAATTGCTTTTTGCCCTTTAATTTGACTAGCAGGTCCTAGTCAAAATTCAACCATGCTAGTCTCTTGCCTTCCATGCCTGATTTCTTGCACCTAGGGATCACTAGCTCTTGCAATTATGATGGGCATCCTTAAGGATCTGCCAGCTCAGTTCTGCTCCCTTGTCCCTGATGGCTGTTTCCCATGGGGTCCTATTGACTAACTTCTTGAGCTGGAAGCTTGCCTTCCTAAAGTCCATAGTCCTGATTTTACTCTTTGCCTGACCAACATTCCCCAGGACTGCCAACTCCAGCAGTGCATGATCACTGCAGCCCAGATTGCTTTCAGTCTTGATGTCTGCAGTTAGCTCGTTGGTGTTGGTGACTAACAGGTCTGGTTATGCATCCCTTCTGGTAGGGCTGTCTATTACCTGCCTCAATAAGTTATCTGCAGTTCTGGGAGTCTCGTGGGTTGCCTACAGCTCAGCATACTACTTTGCCATCAGATGTCAGTGTGGTTGAAGTCCCACAGCAGGAAAAGAGCCTGCGAGCCCAATGCCCCCTGTAGCTGGAGCAAGAAGGCTTCCCTTTGTCAGGTGGCCTGTAGTAGACACCAGCCACAAGGTTCCTTTTGTTGCCTTAGTCTCTTATTTACCCACAGACTTTCAACCTGCTCATGGCTGTTCTTCAGAGAGAGCTCTTCACATTCACTCCACCTCTTGATGTTAAGTGCAACCCCTTCATCCCTCCTTCCTCTTCTCTCCCTTCTGATCAACCTGTAGCCACTGATAACTGAAATGAACAGGGTCTATGCCTTTATTAATAGTCAGCTCTTTATTAAAAGTCAGCTCCGCAGGGGTCCCAGGGCACACCAGCAGCTGGAGGCGAAGAGGTGTGAAGAGGTATGCAGTCCGCATCCAGAGTCACAGCAGACCATCCTCCCGTCTTTTCCCTCCTGGCAGCACCAGGAAGAAGTGTCCTTTTGTTCCTGCTTCCCACAGCCCAGTCCAATCTGGTCCTCTGCAGGTTATGGTGACAGGTTAAACACAGACTAGAGATGGGGTTCCCTTTTCCCTAATGAGCACACCCATCCAGCCCCCTCCACTGTGCCCATCTTTTCCATTTAGGGGTGGTTTTCATCCCCAAAACCCCCTCCCATGATTCCACTGGATTATTTTGCATCCAGGTCCTAGTGTAGGCGGGGTTGTAGGTGATTCCCAGGAGCAATTGACTACTTAACATTTCAATGCTGGTACTTAGCCGAAGCCGAAGTGTCCCAGCCAGGCTGTTTTGTTCAAAACAATAACTGCACTCTAGTAATGGGATTTGTCCCACCAAGTTGTAGTAATGGCAACTAGATCACTGCTTTATAACAGCAGGTGGCTTCCAGCTCCTTCTGTCTGTTCCCCATGCTGCATGCAGTGGTCTAGAGGCACTTCAGCTGGGATATTGGCCATGTTGCTTTCTAAAGAGGAGCACCCCTAATTCCACTGAGATACTTTTGTGGCGGCATCTACTACCTCAGGAGCCCTTGACTCATCTCCGTAAGACTTCAAGTGCAGTCAGCACAAATCAGAGCCACTGGCAGAGGGTGCTGACTAGCACTCCATCTCCGGGGCCCGGGAGAGCGTCCAGAGCGGTCCCGGGGACAGTGAAGGGGC